ACAGTGAACGTCTGGGCCGGCATTCTTGGTAATCCTATTGTTGGATCATTCTTCATTGAAGGTGATCTCAGTGGAGACACATACTTGAATCTTTTACAAGACTGTGTAGATCCTGTGATTACACATATTTTGATGTTTGGGTGAGACAGTTTTTGAACGAACGTTTTCCAATGCTTTGGATCGGCAAAAGGGGTCCAGTGGAGTGGCCAGCTAGATCACCTGATCTCCCACCGATGGACTTCTTTCTGTGAGTACTTTTCGGGCGGTTGCTGAATAAACATGTTTCTCGAGAAATCATATGAATTCGTTCATTTGAAGATTTTTGATTGTCATCATTTTCAATTTGAAATTCAAAGTTGCTACTGCTTTCTAATAGAAGCGGCAACACCGCATTTTCGAAAATATTTTAGTTGGCTAGAGAATGTCCGAATATGCCCTCCATTAAATTTTCAAAGTGATCCGTTGTCTAGTTCACCAGAAACGTCTAATGTGCCATCCACCGTGAATCAGCCTGTATTGTTTGTACAGTTGTAAAGCAGGTTGGTTTGGTTTGTACAATCATTCTAAAATGCAGTCAATATTTTCAACCTTTGGAAATGTTTCAAAATGAAATATATCAGCCTTTTCAACTTCTCACCTCTGGGATCCAAAATGTATCGAAGTGTGACTGCATACACGCATGAATTTTCTGGTTGATTTATTGATTCCGAGTTTCATTTTCTGTCTGTTTTGGCATGGGCACATACATAAGTATCACAATGTCTCTTTGAACACTATCTTTCGAAGTATTATGAAGAGGTAACAATTCTGAAGAAGAATATCGAATGAGAATATGTAACAACCAGTATTTGCATTTGATTCCTTGTGGCAGTAATTGTTTTCCTTGAGTTTGGAGTTCAAATTATTAAACCTAGATGTCGCCCACCTCGCGGTCCTTCCGTAAAGTAGGATTTTTCATTTTGAGTTTTCTAAAATATCTTCTTCAAATTCGTTATCAGCTCTTTCAATATATCGACAGAACCTTTCAGCAGAATTACTATACATACTTCTTTTTGATGTTGATTTGCGCTTTTCATCGATATTTATCAAGTGTAGGCTTTCGGATTGAGGTCTTGGCTAAGAGTCCAGCATTGGACCGTTCATTTTGTAAATTACAAACCTTGCTTGCAGTAGTCAGAGGACTAGAAAGATAAGTTCGCACCGGCGGGGTTCTAGCGACGAACGTAGGTATCAACGCAGTCATCGCAGATCACCGGCATCCAGGAAGCGTCATCGACATCATCAGGACAAAACACCATCGACGAAGAAGCATAGAAAGTCTTCTTCGAAAAATAAGGTGAGAATTTTTCGTCAACAATGTCTTGAGTTCGGGCCGAGATAAGGTAAGAACTTTCTTTTACACATGATATCAGTTTGATTTTTACCACAAAAATGAGATACACGGCGTCTTGGAATAAAATTCAGAACGAAAAGTTTTTTATGTACGGACTTGCGATGAAAGTGTGTTAATGGTCCAGACAGATACAAAAAAATGTAATAAACATTTTTGAAAATGAGTTCTAATAATGGATAGAGTTTCTTTAATACGTTTGATTGACTAGCGTAAATAATGAAAGTTAGTATGAGACAGGAAATGTTGTTTGAGAGCTACACTGACAAAAAACTTTCATCGCGTATTCGTGAATAAAAAATAATAATCCTCTGGAGTTTATAAAGTTTAGAATATCGATAAAATGCATAATTTTTGCCTTCGTTCAAAACACTTTGGAATCTTGAATAATTTGGAAAATAGAAATCAATTTGCCGAAATTATTTTGTTCTTCGCGAATTGTCTGGAAGTTCCAAAGAGGTTGCTAATTTTTTATTGTTGCCTTTGTTGGTCTAAGTAATGAATGTAATAGTAGTTGTTCATTAATTAACATGCATTTTTTCGTTATTCAGATAATTTTGCCTTTTGCCTCGAATATCTTCATATGGTCTTTATAATCTTTGTTATGATTTAATACGTGATTGTTGTTCATACGAATAGAACTTGGGTTGTTTCTGTCTCACTGAGTTAGTTGCGGCGCTATTGAAATAACGTTGTTAAGAAACAAAGTGTTTATTGATAATTTGGTAATACTAACTGTTAAAATCCGCTTCTTTCGTTTACCAGGTTATTTTTTAGAAAATGTTAATATATGTCCTAAAGATCTCAACTTTTGAAAAACAGGGCGTGAAGTTTTTTAATGATACGTTTTGAGAAACGTAGTGCATATCTTTCATGAATCAAATGCAATTTTCTGTTAAATACCCCTCATAGCAACGCTCGGCAACAGGCGTTTACGGACCGCGAAAGGTCGAACCTCGGACCGCTGAATTACAATTTTCAGCTATATGAAATTAGTTTCACAATATTGCCTATCTAAATATATTGACAATGTGTCTTTTTGTAGTAATCAGTAAACCCAACAATACTGGAATAAAATTCCAGTTCAATGTATGATCCTAAATATAATAGTTCATTTCATAATTTCATATATATTATTTACTGTGATGAAGGGGATTCCCAGAATATGTTCTTCTCAGCAAACAATTTTGTGCGTCCTTGAATACTTTGCATATTTTTCCACTAAAATTGATACCGCGTAAAACTGATTCAACTTCTTGGTTAGGTTATTATCTTGGTTTCTTTTCCTTGATATTTATTTTGCGTGTTAATAACGTTTTCCTAGAAAAAGTATGCTCACTTCACATACACGTCAAAATATGCTTTATTGTCTGAAGATTCATATCTTTTTTTGATTTGAAAGGGTTATATTTTTAGGAGTGATTAATTTTTGGGAAAGAAAGTTTTTGACTTTCTACTACTCCATCTGATACAAAAAAAAAAGGATGAGAGAATCTTCCAAAGAAAGGGAGTAAGTAATCAATTTGAAAATAAGTAACTCTATACATGAATGTGTAGATCATGCAAAGAAGTAACTTTCAGACATATCTTATTGACAAAGCTTGGTTAAAATAATTAAATAAAAAAAAACAAACAAAATTACACATATCAGCTATCGCTATTTAGTCATATGAAACTATAAACTATACCATAATTTACAATTTCAAGTAGATACTGAATATATGTATATGTAACAAAATAGGACATATAAAGATAATAGAAACAGTTTGTATTCACTTAGCACAATATAACACTTTAGGGAAAGCCAGTAATAATGTATTTTGAAAATGTCCAATATTGATTATATGAACTGTATTGAGAGTCAGACACAAGTCAATCAATCAATCATGCTTTATTGTCCAAGAAATCCTTATTGACAAAGCTAGTGAAACTTTATGAAGTCAACAATGTTTTTTTTAAATATTAAAATAATGATATACATCGAACAATCATTATATGGTTGAAAAATGTACATATACGAACCATTACAGATAATAAATAAATAAATAAATCATTACAGATATGTAAGCATCTGAAATACTAAGAAATGAAATACATCATCGATATATTTCATAATAGGCTTTTTGCAGAAGTACTCCTTTTACTAATTTTCTGAATTCTTTTAAATTTGCTATTGCCCTATAGCATAGCACATTGATTGGAAGGTGGTTGTATATTTTCTTGCTCTCATATATCAGAGAAAATTTTGTAATTGCTGATTTTGGTATTGGCAAGGGTAAATTCCGACTTCCTCTCGTGCGGTAAAGTCTATCATCATTTACTGCTGAGTTGGAGTATTTTTTTGTGAATTAGGCAAACGGTTTCTAAAAGGAATAAACAAGGTACAGTAAGAATTTTTTTACTGATGAAAATGGTTTGCAGTGGTCTTGTGATTTTGCCCTACATCTGTATCTGACAGCCCTTTTTTGTAGAACGAATACTGAATTCAGTAGTTGCCCCGACTACAAAAGCCCCAACTCTATCAACAAAAATACACAGTTCTGGCTGAGGATTAATTGAATTCGTTAGAAACAACTCGAACTGCATAGCAGCCAGATGCTATTTTTTTGTATGAGTTTCTTATATGCTCATCAAATTTTAATTTATCATCTATAAATACCCCTAAAAATTTTGTGTGAGTTCTGTTAACTATAGCATGATTTTCTTCAAGTCGTCAAAATTTAGTTTCAACCAAACTATGTTTATTTTATTTGTGTGTGTTGAAACATAAGGACGTTGAATCGCACCACTGTTCAACCCTTTAGAGATCCAGAGTTATGATGTCTCCGAGATTATCTTTATTTGTCCCACGCCAAAGAATCGTGGGTGTCATCCGCAAAAAGTGTGAACTTTCCTTTGATATCAATGGTTACCAGATCATTCAGATAAAGCAGAAAAATGGTAGGGCCCAGAACCGAACCTTGTGGTACACCCGATGAATTATTCTCAATATGCTATGTATTTCCTTGGAGTTTTACTAACTGCTTCCTGTCTGTTAGCTAACTATAAAGCCAGTTATATGACAATACCCTGAAGCCATAGCACTGAAGTTTAAATGATAGTGTTTCATGGTTCACGCAGACGAACGCTTTTGAGAAATATATCTATCTATGGTTTCCCCGTTTCGGATATTTGAAGTTCAATATTTTTAATAATCTATAGAATGTAGTGCGTTATTTCTTTAAATAGTGTGTCAAGACTGGGGCGTTCGTTTCTGACCAATGGTAATTTAAGATTTCATACAAGAAATGAGAATAAGTTGATACTTTCGATCGGAAGCGCCACGGAAAGGCCACGCTTTGTAATATACACTACCTTGTATTGCAATGCCCACTCTTGTATTCTTTATGAGTGATATAATTAGTCCATTTCAGTCTAAGATAATCTTTGATGACCGCCACCTCAATACCTCCCGAATATCAAAACAAAAATGTAGGTGGGCACCTGAAATTCAGCTGGGAACCAAGGATAGAAGCATATATACTTTGCTAACGTATCCAAGTTATATTTAGATTCGCACTTTTCTGTAGAGTGGGACCGCCGAGACTCCTGCCAACGCGCGAACGTCAGTCGTACATCAGAATTTTCGGGTAGAGTTCCTAAATGCGAGTGGCCCGTATTTCCCGAGGTGTTTCGCGCTAGTCGGAGCATGTCATTTCCAGATGTACGGATCGAGTTTGTCCTACAACCGTTACCGTCCTTCCAAGGACCTCGAACGACACGTCGTCCCCGAGGACTCTTCGTGGGGCCGTACGTCATCGTACGCAGTTCGACCTTCTGCGACGACTACGATTTTCCCAGGATCAGGAATGCCAACGAAAACACTGAGCGATAACAGGCATCCGTTCGGCGACTATCCTATGGCCAAGAATCACACGAATGCCCCTGTGAATAGGCCGAGGTACGCGCGTTCCTCGACAACTTCAAGTGTCGCGCAAATTCTGAGTGATTCGTGCTCCAGCCTCTTCCAAAAGTTGACGACCCGGGTGCGAGGTCCCTCGTCGACGGTCGAAAGACAGCTAGCGTCGAATAACTTTTCCACCCCTTCTAGCGCCGGAAGCGGTTTCGTTCCTCTAACCACCAGCAAGAGTTCCACGGTGGTTCCGAATTACGGCCACAGTAAGAGTTCGACGGTGGTACCGAATTTCGGACACACCATAACTAGATTAGAAGATAAATATTCCTCGGTGCTGGACCGGATATATCGAAGGAAGGGCGCGGAAAAGTCGGTGGATCCTCCAATCCGGGGGCTCGTCAAGAGTTCGACCACTGCGAACGTGCTTCTTTCCGAAAAGTCGTATCCTTACATCAACAACAACGCGTTTCATCGGGAAAAGACGCCGTACAGGAGTGAGAGTCGGAAATCGTTGCACAAGAAGCAGTTTCCGGAACCGCAGTACACGTTTCTGGATAAAGATTCGGCCCATCGAGTCCGCCACAAATCGAATCATTCCGATGTTCGTCCTAGGAGATCCACGAAGCCCCAACGAACCGGGAAGAGCGAAATCAGCGACAGGAAAACCACCAACTTGAAACTACAACCAGTAGAGATAAATCTGAACGAGGAACTACCTGGACCCTTAGTGAAATCCGTTTCGGGCACGGTTGTCAAGGCCATTAGCCCAACTACGAAGAAAGATGTTGAAGACGATGAAGTCACCCCTACTCCGTCCAAGCCAGACAACGGGGCGCAGCGAGAGGCGAAGAGGAAAGAAATCCAGAATCTGATCGTCAAGTATTCCGCCCTGGACGAGGCCTACAACAAACTGCATGCCGGCGATGGTATGAGCAAACGAAGTGATAAAAAAAATAGCGGGTGCTTGGATAGCGTTTCCGGGTCTAGTGTTCTAGCGTCAATCACCCAGAAATATTATCCAAACTCAGTCGCGGCTGTAAGTAGAAGGAGTTGTTGTGTGATCTTGATCCTCCGCTCGATCCGTCCACCACTAACAAAAACGCGACGCTTCCGTGAGACACCCTTCTAACCAAAAGTCATGTGGCGCAATCTTTAACATGTTGTGTAAGTACTAATGATTTTATTCAGTCTTTTTTATCTATGAGGAAGATTCGGGATGATGGGCATGAAATCTATCTTTCCGTTTTCTTTAATCAGTTCGAAGAACGGGGTGGAAGCTTTGGGTCTTTCAACAGGTTGTTTGTCAAATCGATACAGGGTGGTCGTCTAGAATGTACTGTGAAGCATACTTGCCACGTCACTGTTGCAAATACCTTCAAGGGAGGTAGGATTCAAATGATACCTCATTGAAGAGGGAATTCGAATCCATTACTGCTATATTTTTGAAAATTGTTTCATGCTCTCAGGGATACGTTGAACCGTTTTCCGAAAAATACAGAATTTAAATGGATTTTATCAAAACTTACCGTGCTAATAAAGTAAGTGTTGAAAGTCTGTAAACCTCAATTCAATATTACAGATTATATTATAACATTTGTATATTTTGGGGCATTTTTGCGGTGTCAGTTCACGACATATGGGGTCTGTTAAAAAAACAGTGAATGTTCAATTTCCGCGGGCTACGTATATGTTGGTACACTCTTCTCTACACTGTAAATAGCTTGCAGCACCTAGCAATGTATTCCTGTATAACTCGAACATCTCTATAGAACATAAACCATTGGAGTCAAATCGGGGAATCTGAGTGGCCATTCTGTAGAACCTCTCCTTCCAATCACTATCAAAGATCTGTCGCACTGACACTACGTAATTTTTTAAGGACATACACAAACACTCTAGGAAAATCCTCAAGGCGCTGTCAGAGCGGTGCCTGTGCGAAAGTAGCGATTCACATTGGATTTAAATCGCTGGAGATCAAATCCATTTGGAAAAACGTTCTTAGGAAGTTTATTCCACATAAACGCGGTTGTCCAAATGAAAGAGTTTTCTAACAGTGAAGTTCGAGGTGTACTGAGTTGAGCCTTAAAACGATGAACTGTCATAGTCCGTCGCGTATTTCTGATATGTACCGCTCTTGGTGGAATCAAATGTGCCAAGTCACTTGAATACCTCCCGTGAAAGTATCCATAGATGAGAGATAAATCTTCAACCATTCTTCGATGTTCCAGACTATCCAGGTTGCACGTGATGTTTGCGTCTCCAATCAAGCGAATGGCTCTTTTCTGGATTGAAGCCAGCAACTTCAGGGTATCTTTGAGGGCGGAGCTCCGTACATGAGAACAATACCTTTATAAAGCATCAAAAGTTGCTGAGGTGTGTACAGTTTTCTGGTTCGGAACAGTGTTCCAAACTTTTGAGAAGCAGCCTTTGCAATTCCAGCGACTTGTTGAAAGTTGCGAAATTGTCTGTCCTGACATTAAATCCGGTTCGGAGACATTTATCTTCTTGGAGAAAACCGATGCCTGGGTTTCTGTGGCATTGAATTGAATCTGGTTACTTTCACTCCAATTCGAAATCACCTCTAGATCCTCAGTGAGATATGGAACCTCCTGCCGGTGAAGATGTGCCTCCGTAGCCGATGTCCTGGAAGCCAAATGAAATGACAAGACAAGTGTACTGTCGTTGGTTTTTCCCAATAAGTAGTTGATATACAATAAAAAGAGGGTTGGAGACAATATGGATCCCTGGGGAACACCAGCGTTGATGGTGAAAGTATTCAAGACATATCCATCGACAGCCACTTGCAGGGAATATTCTTTCAGGAAGCTGAAGAGCCATACACAAAAATGACCCCACAAGCCATAGCATCGAAGTTTGGGCAGCTACACAAGGTCAAATGCATTTGAAATATCAAGCGCAACAATAAGGAACGAACCCAACCTTGTTGAAAAACTACTATATTTCATTATTGAGGTTCCAACTGAATGTCAATATAACTTGAATAATTAATGGAAATATTCTCCACGTTTTAGGTTTGCTTCCAAAAAGAATGAATCACCTTTTCCGATGAAAGGTGATTCATTTGAATTTTCTACAATTCATTTCGGTGGTAATTGAGTTTTTGTATTGGTTTTTTCATTTCACTACAACTAAGGGCACAACAACTACATAAAAAAATATTTTTTCGCCTTGAGGGGACCAGTGTTCTTACGGATGTTTCTTATGATATTGTTACTCAAAATTCCTGTCCAAATTTTCAGTTTGTGGTGATATTGGACGTGAATTCAGCGTGCTAAATTGGAAGTTAATATTTTGATAATATACTTATTCATTCAGATAGAAGATGCATTCATCTGAGATATATTTGGTGTACAACAAAGCTAGACTACGGTTGACGCGTTTCTCGCAAAATTCAAGTTTTCTGTCGAGATCATTTTCGTTCATTTCATGAACTTTTTTTTATTTGCCTTTGGGGCTTTTATTTTTTACCCAAAACCCTTGGTTCTTGGAAAGTGACCATCCTATGTTGCTGAAAAATCTTACCATCTTCCACTGAAACTCCACTATGTGCCTTCTTGGCTCCTACCGATCAAAGTCTAAATTGGTAGCAAATTGCCAAAAACGACTCTCCTCGATAGGAAGACTTGACATATTGTCTCTGGTCTGGATTCCTGGCCATACTGGCCTGGAAGGCAATGAGGCTGCTGACTTCATCGGACCAGAACCTGTTATTGGCATCGCTTTGGGCTTTGCCAAACAAACACTCAACACCTGGATGGCAAGAAGAGTTATGGACTTCTGGCAGAATCTTCCTGGATTGTCTCACTCCAAGGCGTTTATTCACCCTTCGAAGCTTGATTCCAAACAGTTGTTAGACTACAGTAGGGATGAACTACGTTTTCTAACAGGCCTTCTTACAGGTCACTGCCATTTGAATCATCATATGCAGAGACTTGGACTGTCGGAAAACAGTGTCTGTCGCCTCTGTTTGGCAGAGCATATACTCTGTGCCTGCCCCGCTGGGGACCGAAAGTTTACTGAAATTAAATCTTTTGTGTTTTTCAAAACTTGGATATATCTCTTGAATATTGAGTTTTGTCTCGAAACAAGATTAGTATTAGAACATTTTTTCGAAAGTAACAACTAGGTGGGTATATATTAGACCCAAAAAATTAAACCCAAAGCTTTCACTACGAATATTCCCGAATCTACCTCAATATTTGAATGCAAACTTCAAAGGGGGATTGGCCAAACTTTGAGAAACGAGATGGTGATATTTTGTCGTGATTATTTCTTGGTATTTTTATATTTTTTTGGGTGTTTCGTTGAAGAAAAAGTCACTTGATATTCACAAAACTACAGTTTATTTCCACTTCCTTCACTTATGGTTCGCGATGGTTTCGATGTACAGCCTTGAAATTTTAAACAGTAGGTTGATATGACTTGGCTTAACTTACCAAAACAAACACCTCACACCTCTATACGGCTCAGTTACAGACGTCATGCTTCTCAATTTTTGTTTGTTCTCACGTGTCTTAGGAGTGATTCAATACATTTATTTCAGACTATCTATTGTCGATAATAATGTTTCGCGGGAAAAATATGTTTTTATTTGAATACAGGCAATCATGTTTATAGTATAATAAAAATTGATTTGAACAATGAACAAAAAAACCTTTACATTTCTCAAATGAATTCTACATGACTTACAGAGGACAATTCAGTGAGATTATATCGTAGTTGTGAAGACCGAGTGAGTAATCCAAAGCGATTCAATTTGTATTACAATTCACTCGAGAAATCTTTCCGAACGCATCTGATTGTGCAATTTGCTATAGCAATGACAGCGGAGAACCTGAAAAATTGAAGTTTCGAAAAATAACACCCAAAGCTTCTACACATAAAATTTCATATGTCTCATGATGTAAATGCAAACCTGAAAAGGGGATTGGCTAAACTTTGAGAACTGAGGCCGTGATATTTTTTTTCTGTAGCGTTGACAAAACATTAACATTTGAAGCTGTAAATCGGGAGTCTTTCTTTCGTTTATAGGATCAATTGAAATTTTAGCTGATTCTTTCCGTCTACAAGCACCGGCTTACCCAATAATTGTTTTTTTTAATTCTGAATTTCGAATTTAATCAATCAACATTATTCAGAATTACAACAACAGCAACTAAAATCTATATTAAAATAAACAATAATGTTATGCATATACATATACATACAGATATATACAGGCCGTTCCAACGAAAACTTAACCGCTCCTGTAAGTTAGAAATGGACGTTCAAAAAACACGTCAATTTTTATTTCTAGGGGGACTAATCCTGATATGGAAATCATACCCGAAACTTCACTCCCCTACGGTCAGCAACTACCCCCCTATTTTTTTCAAAGGCAGGGGGGTCGAGTCATACATCATTTAAAAGGTCTTTTGTTCCTCTATAACTTCTGTAATTCTTTTCGAAATCGGTTCATTCGTTATTGAGAAATTGAATGTTGAACGTTTTATTTAAGAGAAAAGAGAAAATTCGCTGTCGCTCATTTTATTGAGGAAATCAACAAAAGTAATATCAATAGCAACACAATCAACGGATAAAATGTTCAAAATGACCTCCATCTAGTTCCATACAATAATACAGTCCACTTTCGAAAGCGTTCCTTACATTATTGAAGATGTCCGGAGTCAGAGATCGGCATTCCCGAACACTTCTCTGTCGCAGGTCTTCTAGATTTGTGGAATATACATGGTGTAACTGAATAAGTGTAAAACATTTAAGGAGGTGATTCCTCATCGAAAAAAAGATTTTTCTTATAAAGAAACTTCAATGGAGCATCCCTTGCTAAGATACAGCCCCTGAAATTTGTATAACAATTTTTTTCACAAGCACTGAGAAAGTTACAATATTGAAATTAACCTGACGTTTTGTACTACCAAAAAGACACATAGCCAGTAATTTATTTGGTTTACCCCATGGTTGTAAGTGGTGGAAAACGCAACCCCTAAAATTTATTTCCAATGTAACTTTTTGTCT